CACCATAATCAGCATCATCAACATCATTCATCAGCATCAGCGTCAGCATCAGCATCAGCAGCATCATCCTCATCATCATCAGCAGCATCATCAGCATCATCATGATCGTTATGTGTCCCCTCCTCCTCCTCCTCATGCTCCTCGTCTTCCTCCTTCTCCTCCTCCTCCGCCTCCTCCTCTTTTTCGTCCTCCCTTGCATCATCATCATCATCATCATCATCATCATCATCATCATCATCATCACCAGCGGCATCATCATCATCACCATCATCATCATCAATCTCACCATCCGTATCATCATCATCACCACCACAACCTTTATCATCATCATCATGATCATCAACAACATCATCATCGTCATCATCATCATCGCCAACATCATTACAAACATCAGCATCGCCATCATCTTTTCATACGCCTCACCACCATCGTCGTCAGCACTATCATCACCATCATATGAATCAACATCATCCGCAACACCAGCATCACCAACATTATCAAGATCACCGTTGTCATCATCGTCATCATCATCGGCACCACCACCAACAACACCAGTATCATCATCGCTAGCAACACCATCGTCATTATCATCATCAGCATCGTCATCATCATCCTCATCATCATCGTCATTATCATCATCATCATCACCATCACCATCATCACCATCATTATCATCAACATCAACATCAGCATCAGCATCAACATCAACATCATCCTCAACATCATCAACATCATCATCATCAACATCGTCATCATCATCATCATCATCATCATCATCATCATCATCATCATCATCCGCGTCCTCCTCCTGCAGGCGCCACGGCGACTCCATCGCCGAGACCTGCTCTCCGCGCGCCCCGAACAAGGTAGGGTCTCGCGACGACGTAGAGGAGAACCACCGCGCGTCCAGAAGCGCCACGCGGACGCCTAGCCAACGAACTCGGCGGCCAGCCGGGCTGCGGCCTCCTAGGCGCGCTCGATCCCGAAGAGGATTCGCAGCTGCCGCGCCAAGTGGCGCGGCAGCTCGCTCGCGGCCGCCTCGGCCTCCGGCCCGTCCCCCCCTGGCGCTTGGGCCCTGTCCTGGGCGAGCCAGCGCAGGTGGGGCAGGGCCGCAGGCGGCAGATCTCATGAACCATCGGGAGCAGCGGCCAAGCAAGTGGCCCGCAGCATGTTTGTCTGCTTACTCTTCGGTGGCGATTGTGCCGTCGGCGTCTCTGGCCGCCGCCAAGGCGCGGGCGTCGCCTGGCACGCTGTAACGCACTGCGACGCGCCTCCAAGTCGAGGGGGGCCTCCTCTCGCTCGACCGCGCCCCGAGAACAGGCTGGCAGATTGGCGCGGAGCACATGCGCCAGCTTGCCCGCGCCGCAATGCCAGAGGAGAGGCCTCGTCGCCTGGGTCGCCGAGAGGTGCGGGCGGGCCCGCGCGGGGAACCGCGCGAGCTCCTGCTGCAGCGGCGCCGCAACTCTCTCGGCGGTCTCGGCGAAGCGCGCCGCGCCGCCGCTCAGGTCCAGCCAGCGCCAGTCGCCCACGTCCAGAAAAGTTGCCTGGCGGCAGCGGCCCCCCGAGCGGGGCGCCTGGCAGCGCGCGGCCGTCGGCGCGCCAGCGCTTCCAGCCCCGGCGGGCAAGGCGAGCGGGGGGCCGGGCCTGCGTCTTCCGCCGATGCAGTTCGGGCTCCAGCGGCCCTACCTCCGCAGTCGCCTCGACCTCGCTTGCTGAGCGGGCGGCGCAGGGGGCGACCGCGTCGCCCAGGTAGTCCAGGGCACCGACGTCGTCTGCCCACGCGCCGAGGCCGGCCGCCCCAACCCTCAGGGCGTCTTCGAGCGCCCGCAACGGGGGGCGGGGGCCGCGGGCGAAGAGGATGGGCGTCAGCGAGTCGCGGGTCGACGCCGCCCGCAAAGTCCTGGCAGCGGCAGTCTCCGCCTGCGGCCCGAAGTGCTGCTGGGGGCGGCGAAGAAGTCTGCGGAACGGAGGAACTCCGGCGCCGTCTCGTCCAGCTCGCCCAGGCAAGCCTCGCGGCGGGCGGCCCCGCTGGCGTTCTTCTCGCCTGGCGCCGCGGGGGCCTGGTCCCACCTCCGTCAGCGCCTAGTGCCTGGACGTCAGCGCCAGCCGCTCGACGCCCGCCTTCGCGCCGATGGGCGCTGGAGCGCGGCCGCGAGCTCCTCCTTCCGCGGCGTCGCCGGCACCATCCCCGCCAAACGGCGGACGAAGGGCGCGGCGACGGGGCGCGCCTCGCCGCCCACGGTGCTGCGCGGCATCGCCCGGGAAAGGGCGAATACGCCCGCGGCCCCTGCCAGCGGGTCCCCAGCGACGAGCCCGTCGCAGAGGTGGCAGGAGGCCTCGAGGGCTGCTGGCTCCGCCAACAGCACCCGTCAGCGCTCGAAACGGCAGCCCCGCTCCCTTTCGGGCTCCGTCTGGGCGCCTTTCGGGCGGGGGGGGCGGGCGAGGAGGCGGCGGGTTCGCCGCGCGGTTTGGGCACGAGGACAAGCGCGCCGCGCAGCTCGAACAGCTATTGGAGCGCGGCGGCCTTTTCGGGCATCAGAGGCGCCAGTCCCGGTCTCAGCGCCTCCCAGCCCACCGCGTCGGCGAGGTGCCCCTCGGCGGCGTCCCGTCGCCCCCCGGCGGCCCCTCCGCG